CACCAAGCTGGTCTGAACTTCACCTTGATAGCCGGTTCATCCAAACTGTGGGTCCCCTGTGTTCACGGCCCCACACTTCAGGGAACCAGAGTCCACCTGGCCATGGTGTTTCCCAACACCAAAGGCAACCATTTCTTGTCCCCGGTGCATAGCTGGCGAACGTCGGCCTCTAAATCTTCTGGGGCCAATCTCCGTATGCCGCTGAATTTCCACGAAGCCAGGCAGGCTGGTCTGTCTCCAGCTCTCTTCAACCTAAGGAGACCACTTCTACTTTGGACACAGAAAGGGTTCCTAGCTCTTGTGCGTTTCTGTGTACACGCACGGACTGTGGTAAGTCTTGTTAGCGAAGTGCACTTAAGTTTCATAACCTTAGAAAGAGGTATTGTGTAAAAACATGCCCCATCTGCGTGTGGTAGACTGCCATCTATCCAAGTTTCTGGCATGATCTGACACAGACTTAGGTACCCTGGCTGATTATACGTGAAACAGAGGGAAAGAAATCTTTTGGAATCACCTGGACTTGGCAAAGAATGATTTAAAAAAACAATGTAGTGACTAAGGAGGCCCACCTTGGGTGCTCTGCTTAGCAGAGGCTGCTGATCGTTCCAACCTCCCCGCTTGGGAAGAAAGTCAGCTCAGAACATCTCCTTTCCACGGTTTTTCCCTTTTGAGATCAGATAATAAGCTACACACACACACACACACACACACACACACACACACACACAGCCCCCTTTTCTGACTTCTGAGTGGGGTTTGGGTTATTTTGATTACATAATAAAATTTCTCTCACTTTAAACATTAGCACATAATTTTAGACGTTTAGCCTTTAAAAGGGCAGGCAACAGGGTCTTTTGGTACATTTGTCTTCAGATTTCTTCTACATCCTGTTTTATGTGTGGTTAGATCAGCTGATGAATCATGTGATGTTTTGCTGCTTCAAACGACAGAAATAGACTCAAAATAACCACACGGAGGAGCCTCTCCAATGTTTACCAAACACATTGCTCAAAAACATGCTTTTCTATGGTTCACATGCTTTTTATGAAAGAGCTAGGGCAGGGTGGCTGTCTACGGAAGTCGGGGGGCCTCCGGGGGAGCCACGGGTTTCACGGAATTGGCTGCACGTGTACCACAGGTCTCAATGCTACAAAAGGCCCTGTCTTCTGAAGCCCCGCCCAGCGATAAAAAAGGGGTGGGACTTAGAACACAGAAGGCCCCTTTTACTGGGCCGTGCCTCACTTTGTTTGAAAACTTCATCCTATGTTTAGGGGTCAGCTCATCTGAAAAAGAAGAGGCCAGAAGCCAGGACTGGTTGGAACACAACAGCGCATGCTGTCCTGGGCACTGGTCTGCCTAGAGATTCAGGGAAGTAGAAAGATTTTTAAATACAAGAACATATTTCTCAAGGTCATGCCATTGAATTATAAGATTATAAATATTTTTTCTCTTGCAACACAGCTTCTTGGGCTCTCCCACTTTAGTCTGAATTAAGGAAAAACACTCTGGTCAGAGAACTACTGAGTCTTTAAATTGTATTGTTTCTAGAAACTAAGAGTACCAAAAAAAAAAAAGTTACTCTCCTCCTCCCCCCCCTTCCTTCCCATAAGAAAAGACCCCAAATGGGGAACAATTAGGGTAGGGAGCTGTTGAGTTTTTTTCACTTCTTACTCTAAGCTATCATTGAAGAACTTCTGTCATACTTGGGAAATATAATGACTATCTCAACCCTGAGAGAGATCCAGAAAAGGCTTCCTGTGAGGACCACAGAGCTGGACCCTGGTTGGGACGTGCCCTGGGGTTTGCAGAACTTTCAGCCTGATGGAGCTGGGCTATGGTGGAGCCCCTCCCTGGGCCTCCCTCCTCGTGGGCCCCTGCCCTCTGCACCTCCCAAAGTTATTTATTGGTAGGACTCAAAGAATGAAAAAGTGCATTTGATACCATACCAAAGCTTTCCTTGGCCCCACCCGATATATCCTAAACAACACTAAAAGATATTCTTTCTGAAGCTATCAACTATCCATGGACATTTCCAAAGCAAAGCCACCTGCTCGAGCTGACCCATGAAACAGACACAAAACAAGAAAACCTTTGGAAGAAGACAGACCCAACACAGGCAGCCAGGGATCATGCCTGGCTCCCACTCCCGTGCCCAGATGGAAGAATCCCAATCAAGTGAGGGGTTCTGGCCCACGTGCAAACCTCTCAACACGCCCCTGAGCCTCATGGCCGACAGGTCCAGCCCTATCATGACTTTCCTGGAGCAAGCCTCGCCTGGTTCTTTCTGCTCACTTCTTGGGCATCTGATGCCCGGTGCCACCAAGCTCTGAGTGGAACAGAGCACATGACACCTTCATGTTTTAGAATGACCTGGCATAGGACCCTCAAAAAAGCAAAGAGGCCTCTGACCTGGGAATACTCTCAGTGCAGAAAGACTGCTTTGAGCTTCCCCAACTCACTTCTCAGCATTTAAAAATGGCTTTATGCCCCTGTTGTTATAGATTATATTTGTCTACACATATCACCTAACATGGAGAAGGTCACGCCTGGTCTTTTCATGGCCCTTGACATGTGACTCTCCCAGGTACCATGCCCTTCTAATTATATCTGTCAGCTGAGCGACTAGCAATAAGAAAGAAACCTGTGTTGGGGAAATCTTTTTTTTTTTTTTTGGTCGGCAAACTCAAAGGCGTGGCCCTCCTTACTCTGAAAGGTGGGAAGGAGCAGTGTTCCTTTCCTGTCTAAGGCTGCCAATACCAGGTCTTGCTCTAGAAGCTAAGGTGTGTGTGATAGGCCATGAATGAAGTTAAGCCGCCCACGTGAAGGAACCGTGTGAGGTATGGCGTGCTTCGAGGCAGAAGGTTTTGGACACGTCCTGCACAGCCTCTGTCATCGTGGTCTTCCCGTGTTCTCTGAGACGGTCGCCACATATTTATGACCCGTGATGTTCATCATCGACGGTGTCTCTGAGGTTCTAATGACACATTCTAGTTGTGTAATGAAGGGTCTCTAGCTGATCTTTCCCCGACTTCGGGAGGAAGAGGTGGCTTTTTCAATTTGATCTTTAAGTTCCAGCCGCACAAACATGAGATAGTCACACATGTTAAAAAATACTGCTGTTTAATTTTCTAGTCATGTACTTTTAAAAAGCTGATACAATTAGACGTTTTTTTTTTCCCCATCTTCTCAGATCTGCCCCTGAAACCACCCGAGAGCTACACATCTTAATTTCTAGCACTCATCTATACGGAGGAAAAGTCTCTCAGAGGAAGCCCATGAAAATTTGTCCCCATGGTGGACACACCCAAGGTCACTTGATGTCCAGAAATATGAATGCAGCCCTGTGATGTTCGTGGCTGACTTTATGCCCTTACATTCTTTTTTTTTTTTAACGAGGAACAATATGATTACACAGCACTGAAAATAATAAACACAAAAGGCTTGCCTTTTTCGCCCCTTCCAGTGTGTATTTCCATTCTCACTGTTGTCTATGTTAGCTGACCCCATTTATACCCCTGTTACCCATAATGAAAAATAGTTCTCTCCTCATTTATTGATCCTTACATTTATATACAAATGACAGACTCTGTAGAACTGCTGTAAATAAGATACAATGTTCATCGATACAATACGTTTAAACTGCAGGTCTGTAGAGCACAGGAGTAATCACCGTATTGTATTAGAGACATTTTATTGAAAATGCGAAAATAGGAAATGTATTATAGCCTAAAATAAATTACATAACATATACAGTATATATTTATATCTTTAAAATATTTTTGTGTTTAGGTTCTTTCCGTCTAGGAATTTTGACTAAATCAAGAATTTAGTGAACTGTGTCCATAATTTTTTAAAGAAAAAACCCGCTTTCCAAAACTTAGAAAAATATACTGCACTAAATGGATTTCAAATGTGTCATTTCAGGGAATATCACATAGTGACTTTGCTATCGCTTAGAAAATGTCTTGCTTTCTCGTGTGGCGTGAATTACCTGCACCGCATGGTTATGAGTAAGAGTAGCGGAACCAGGTAACGAATCTACTTCAAAAGTTACGATACAGCAACCTGGCATTAGAATGCTAGATTATGACTTAAAGCTTCCATTCACTTAAAAAAAAAACCAAGAAAAAACTCCGTTTCGCTTGCTCGAGCGCCATCTTCAGGAAAGGTGAGTGACAAACAAGCCTTCGGGGAAATTCATGCCTGAGGATGCTGACGTTTGGAGATGCGCTTTTGTGACAACGTAAAAAACTTAGCTCATGTATGTACACGGCGGGGCCTGAAAAGTGGGAGCTCGCTCAAACCTAGGAAAATGCAGGTGAAATGCTATCGTTCTGTCCGCCACTGCCCCAGCGTCTCGAACCTTCCCCTGGGAGGTCAGGCTCGCGCGCCCGTCCATCTGTCCGCCCGTCCGTGCAGCGCGTTCACAAAGGCACTGGTCAGTGTGAGCGGCCAGGCCAGGCTGCCATCTGTCGCGGACGCTCTGCACGGCGGGGTGGGGGGTGCGGTGGCTGGGTGTTGGTGGCCGCAGGCTGTGCAGGGCGGAAGGCCCCCGGGGCTGCATCTCTCTCTGCACAGCCGTGTTCCTGGGAAGCCAGCCACATACAGCCGAGCTGTAACCTGTGGATTCGGAAGAGCGATGCGGAGGGACAGGGTCCAGTCGGGCCTGCTGGGCGGGGGCGGCCGAGGGCGCTGATGGCCCAGCCGCAGTCCTTTGGTTCTGAGTGGAGATTGTCCGCGGGAGGAGGAGGAGGGGACAGGCTGTTCTAGAGGCAGCTGCGTCGTCGGGATTTCGGGGCAAGTGGGGGCGTGAACTCATTGTTCTGTTTGTGTGTCCAAAGCGATGGCAGGGACCACTGTTCGGGTGCCCACAGCTGAGGGAGCATACCCAGTATGCCGCAGAGTCTACACGAAACCTTTAGCAAGGCCTCTTCCGTGACCCAAACCCAAACCCAAACCCAAACCCAAACCCAAACCCCGGAGCAGAAGAAAGAAAGCACGAGGGAGAGGAGATGTCGCTGCACTGCCACCTGGCCGCCCTGCTGTCCCCGCGTCCGGCGCCTTAGTCATTCTCCTCTCGCATTTCCACCACGTCTGTCCCCTCCTCCGCCGGTGGAATGTCCGTCATGGCCGAGTCCTCCCCCTCGGCTGCGGTCTCGGTCTCCATCTTCTTTTTCTAGACCCAAGAAGACTCATGAGTGTGGGGCTGTGACGGGGATGCATCACCGCAGAGCCACGAGCAGGGAGAGGCCGCAGGGTCTCAGGGGGCCCCTCGCTGCAGACCTGGGTCCCGTTTCTGGTTCAGGTGACCTCCCCGTGGCTGCATCTGGACTCAGTATATTCCTCTCAGTCCGGTTACTTACTCGGGGGGCCGGCACTGTGCTAGGCCCTTTGGGGGATCCTGACTGCCCCATCCCCCTGCCCTGTGGCCCCCCGCCCCCCCCATGCAGACTGTTCTCCTGCTCCTCCCCTCCAGCCCACCCCAGGTCTGTGTCTCTCTCCCACCCTGCTGGTCGCCTGTCCCGATTTCCAGTGACCACACTGCCACGTTGGCCGCCTTGCAGTAAATGCCTCTCCGGGCCCTGACCTCTTCTGCTTGGGGCAGGTTCTCCAGCGCCGCCCCACCAGCCCCGCCATTCTCGGCTCACTGGAGACCCCGTCATTACCAACACCCTTGGCATCACTGACAGGCCAGCTTCAAGGACACGGTCCTCCACCTCCCGCCACGGTCTGCCTCTCCTTCCAGGCCCCTGCCCCCATAACCCATGGGCCTTCTTGCCTCCTCTCTCTGCTCATCAGCTTAAATGAAATGCTCAATAGTCATCATCGCTTCTGTGGCCCTCTCCTCTTTTCTTTAATCTCATTTGTAGGTAAAACCCTCACCTTGGTTGGGTTCAAGCCTCTGCCAATTTCAACCCTCGCCACCCAGCCGCCGTGGCTAGGGGATCACACTGGGGAGCCCCGGACAGCCAACCTTGGGCCCCTTCCCTTCTCTACCCCCATCCACTCCCTGGCTAATCCTGTCCCTCCTGCTCCCTAAGTAGTCATAATCTTAGGACCATACCCCCAAACAACTAGGTAACCCTGCAGGATACATGAATTATGTGCTGACGGTGAGTGCATAGCGTGTGTGTGTGTGTGTGCGTGCATGTGTGTGTGTGTGTGTGTGCACGCGCGCGCGTGCGCGGTGCGCAGTCGAGAAGACTTCCTGGAGGGGCATGGGATCTGAGGTTGAAGAGCGGAAGGGCTTTGCAGAGGCAGAGTGGGGAGCGGGCATCCTGATCACCCAACATTTTTTAGACTGGTCCTTCCTCAGCGATAAAGTCTTGAGTTTATAACGACTCAAAGAACGGATTGGTTTCAGCATTTTCCTGCATAGTCAAAGCACTATTTAGTTTCTACAATTTGTATTCTCCCAAGGCCACAGTAGGACGCAGGACTGTAGTCCTTTCAGTCATGTCTCCTGAGCAATCTGGCTGCCCTTTGAGATAAGGCGGGTGTCAGGAATAATCCACATAATGTGTATAAGGAGTAACCTACAGAACAACTTACTAAGGTGTCCCCCTGTCAGCGAACCTGACCTAGGACTGAGCAACTCCGGCCACGAGGGTCACTCACACGCAGGAGGGGCCCCGGAGTCCTGGTGAGCAGTGTGAATCCAGCTGAGATGGGGCATGAACGGGAGGTGCCGCTGCCCCGGCCACCTCTTGCTGTGGGGCCACAGGGAGCCGCTCAGGACTCCCTGCACCTGGGGAGGCTTCACGGCCTGGGCGGGGGCGCGGGTCTGCGGCCAGGCTCACCTGTTTCCGATAGACGTAGCACGCGGCTATGGCGACCATGGTGGACTCTCCCACAAACCCTGCCAGGAGGGAGCCCACGCCCAGGGTGGCTCCATGTACCCTGGGATGAGAACACAAAGGCCATTTGTCTGTTAAAGCCGTGCTGAGGCACAGGGAGAGCGGAAACCCAGTGGAAGGCCGGGAACGGTGCACACAAGAGAGGAACCAATTGCCCCCCGAGTTCTGCTGGAAGGGCTGCACCTGATACGTGGCCCCCCTGTGTGGGGAGGGGACCTGGAGCTCCGAGGTGAGCTGTCCCCCACTCCCCTTCCTGGCCTTGGCTTCACGCTGCTGGCGGGACCGTGGGCCACGGCCCCCTCACTCTTGAGCCCACAGCCCTTCCTGCGCTCGTCTCTGGACAGAGATGGGAGCTCTGAGGGCGGGGGTCACGATGCCCTTCCTCCCTGTGTTTTCCCCCTTCTCGAGCCTGCCGCCCGTAGCAGGTGCTCAGTGAATAGCGTGTATGGGCCTGATCCCAAAAGTTCTCTTCTAGAATGTTGCTGAGCCGCCTTCCACCTACTGCCTGGACAGAGAAAGAAGGTATCACTCTGCATTTCCAATCCTAGATATGCTTGGGGATGCCACATGAACATACAGATGTACTTAAGTGGCAGAAGGACCCACAGCCCCCAGTCCCTCCCCTCCCCGCCCCCCGACAGCATACCCCAGGTAGGGCAGGACCACGAGGCTGGTGATGAGGACGATGATCCGCAGCACGGAGCTGGGGGCCAGGACAAAGGTCTTCTTCAGCGTCATCAGCCACCCGGTGAGATGGGCCCTCACAGTGACTGAGGGGACAGCAAAGGACTGGTCAGCGACACCCTGCTTCTCCCAGTCCTCAGCCTCTGCCCCGTGCCTCGCCAGCACACCTGAGGTCATGGGGTGGCTGGGTAAGGAACCAGGCCTTGTTGCTGCGGCCCCGGGCTGGCCGCCACATCTTCCTGCCGGGGCTCCTGAGCCTGCTTCTGGGCCTGCCATAGCCCCGTCCCTACCCGGGCTCCCTCCTCACTGCAGCCCTTGGCGCCCAGACAGAGGGCTGCAGGCAGCTGCCTTTCCCCGCTGTGACTGCCCTCGGTCTTCGGCTGGCCCGGCCTGCCCCCCGCCCGCCGGCCCGCCAGCCCGGCCTCAAGCTCTGATCTCTGCTCTCCAGAAAAGAGGACACAGAAAAGCCACACCTTGCCGGTGATCCAGTTTGTGCAAGAGGAGGGAAGCTCAGAAGGCCAGTCTTCCTGGGGGTGGGGGTGGCGGGGGGAGGAGCGTGGAGACCGGAGCGGGGAGAGGGAAGGATGGGGCTTCCCTCATTCCTTCCCAGCCACCCCAGACTGCTGGCACCCTGGTCATCTCCTCTCCTTCCCTAACAGCGCCCCTCGTCTCGGTCGGTCACTATTCACAAGGACCTCGCAGTACGTTCCGGTATTGGCTCCGCATCCACCCTGCTGCAGCGTGGGGCAGGGCAGGGTGCCCGGCCAGGGCACAAACGAGGGCTCTAGGCACAGACAGCGTGGGGGGCCGTGGACACCCCAGTCAGGAGGAAGTGCCTGGATGTTAACATTTGATCTGTAACTGCAAGGGGCTGTTGGAAGCTATGGCCTAGTCCTCCCAGGGTGGGCAGTGCCAGGCAGAGACTCCTGGGGTAAAAACTCATGTCCACGGCACATTCGGAGGAAGACGCTCCTGTCTTCCTCGTCTCATGGGGGGGCCCTGCCTGCCTGGGGTGGAGGCCTTGTATTTATGAGGCACACACACATTTGGGTTTGGCTGAGGCAGAGGGTAAAGGGCGCCCACTGGAACGCTCACCCGCTTGGCCTGAACCCCACAGGTTGCAAAGACAGATGGGGCCTGATGGCTGTCCCGAAGCCTTAGTGTGACCGACACAGAAGTGAGTCGAGAGATTAAAAACCAGTCCAGTCCCAGCAGGATTTGTCTGGGACCCCCAGCTCCTCCGCCAGTTGAATCTGGGGAAGGAGCGGCAGGTCCTTAGTCTCCAGCAGGGGGCAGCCTTGCTCTAGGTGGGGGTTACCTTCCACAGCTTGCTCCCCCAGTGTCCCCTTGAGAAAGACCAGACACCACCCCATGGCCACGATCTTCCACTCCTCCACTTCTTCCACAACCGGGAAGGTGACACCTGAGAGGCCCGGCCTCCAGAAATGCTCGGCGTCTAAGAGCAGGGGTGGCCCACGATCCGGTGCACGGATGGCACCACCAGCCCTGGCCTCCTTTAGCTCCGCGGCCCATTTCTTAACCATGGCTTTGTCCATTCTGCTTCTCAGCTGAATGATTTAGTGGTTTATTTGGGCATTAATTTTCTTTTTAAGATTTTATTTTTGAGTCATCTCTAGACCCAATGTGGGACTCGAACTCACAACCCTGAGATGGAGAGTGGCAAGCTCTTCCGTCTGAGCCAGCCGGGCACCCCTGGGCAATACGTTTTTGAATAAGTAATGACATGCACTTAGTATGGAATTGAAAAGGTGCAACTGGCTCCCCCAGGCCCTGGTCCTGCTCCAGAGGCAACCACTGGTACCAGTTTGGTGAATTACTTCCAGGAACAGTGCGTGGACACCCAAGCACTCACCATGAACTTGACACACAGATGGACAAGCATGTGTGATACGTTTGTTACAGAAAAGTAGCATGCTAATCAGCCATTCTGCGGCCTGCTTTTCTCATTTAATAAAGAACCGCCTCACTCCCATATAGTAAACCTCCTCCTACGGTATCGGTTTGGGAATTTTCAGCCTGGCTTATTTTTGGCTACGGACATTTTTCTCTCTGGCCATACGCCGTCTGGCCTCAGCTCTGCCCCCAGATTCTTAACTCCAGCAGTATTTTTCTGTCTTTGTCCATCTGCAGGTTTTAGCTGTCTATCTGCCTTTTTGCTTATGTTACTTTTTAAATAACGTATTCTAAAACTGACTTCGGAGGATATAGTTCTAAGAATTTTAACACACGCACAGATCTGTGTAGCTGTCGCCATGACCAGGGCACGGGACAGTTCCACAGCCCCCCAAAACTCCTCATGCTGTCCCTTTGGGTGTGCTTTCTTTTTACTGTGTCTGCGACCTCTGTCCTTGAAGAAACAAATTATGGCTGTCCGATTTGTTTTTGAACTTGCAACCCACTAGGTAATGTGTTTGCACCTTTCCGATCCGCTGTGACATTTTACTGTTCCTGTCTGGGACATCATCGCAAACATTTCCAAAGAAAGAAGACCACATTGGGCATGAAGGTAGACAAGAATTTTCTTTTCATTTTCTGTCTTTACCTGGAACTGGGAAGAAGGAGAAGATGCGCAGGGGAACAACGCAGAGTTCTGCAAAGGCGAAGTCCACTCCAATGATGTCTATCAGAATTTTCTCGGAAACGTTGGGCGTCCAGAACATCACGAAACAGAGCTGGGGGCAGAAGGGACAGTCAGCAAGGTCGTTAGCAGGAGCGTACATGAGTGAAACGACATCAAGGCAGGTGTCTCGTGACCCCGCGGAGCTAGGAAGGAGGGCGAACCTGCCCGATCAGGGGGCTGGTGCATCAGTCCTCAAACGGCCGCCGTCCTGCCTTGTTCTCACCTTTGGACACAGGCCCCGCCCATTCGGCACAGGTGCCCCAGAGGGACCCCCAGAGGGACCCCCGCAGCGGGTGGGCGGCTGGGCTAGTGAGGGAGACCAGTTGCTCTCATGGAAGGCGTAACTAGATTGCTAAGCAGCTCAGTGAGGTCAGGGTGAACGTGCTCAGTCATGGGATTTTTCCAGCTTTCCCCCAAGAGTGAGAAGTGACCTGAAAGCACCTGGACTACATCTGCGCGCGCAGAGCCACACTGAACCAGCGCACCTAATGAAAAAGGAAACAGTGAGACTTAAATTCATGATGGGTTCGGGAGCTTTTCAAGGTCTTGTTAAGAGAATAAGAGACAACAGCCACGGAATGTGCACTTTTGGAGAGCAGGTGGGCAAGGAGTACAAGGATTTAACAGACCCCCCCCAAAACAGAATTTTAAACTGATGGGGTGGGGGTGGGGAGTGAGCTGCTTCCAGCCCTTCCCCCCTCACCCCAACAGGAAATGTGGCAACAGGCCCTTCTGGAAGTGAGGGCAGGGCCAACAGGAGGCCGGTGGAAAGTCTAGTTAGTAAGCAGCTTGTCCACAGTTGCCCCTGCACAGCTGGTGACTATGGCCCCTGACCTTGGCAGGACCCTGGAATTCCATCTCTGCAGTGGAGGACAGTTGCTGCCCAGAAACCGGGGGATTAAGGGAAGGATGACGTCGAAGCTCCTGTCTTCTTCCTCTGTTCAGCTCCTGAAACACAGGAAACCAGCTGCATCCTTCTGGGGGAGGAGACCCAGGGTTCCGGAAGCTGGAGCCTCCTGGTGAGGCAGCACGCCCTCCTGTGCCTGACCGGCCACCACAAGGCCCACACAGGGCATCAGCCGCCCCACACGGGCAGGGCTGCCAGTCGGCTTCTGATGCACCCCTACGATGAGGAGAGAAGCAGGGATCACCAGACTTTGAGGAAGGCCTCTAAGTTGAAGAGGCTCAGACAGAGGGAAAAAAAGATTGGAGGAAACAGAGACAAAGCAGAAAGACAAAAGAGATGGACGTGTGTGTGTGTGTGTGTGTGTGTGTGGGCGTGTGTGTAACACACACACAGGGAGGGAGAGAGAGAGAGAGGGGAAACTTTCCCACACTGATATTCTCAGAGTGATAGAAGATCCTGCATCTATGAAACAAGGCCCAAATGGAAATGTTATTTTAAAAAGATGGTTAAAGAATAAGAAAGGTACTTCTGAAAATTAAAAAGATTAAGTCAGAAATAAGAAATTCACAAAACGACAGTAAGATAAAGTTGAAGAAATCTATAACAAAGATGGAGCAGGACAAAGACATGGGAAGTACAGGAGAATGGGTTAAAAAAATATAAATAAAGGACCAATTTAGGAGGCACAAATTCAAATAATATGAGTTCCAGAAAGAGAGAACAGTGAAAATCTGAGAGCTGAAAGATACGATTTCTAAGACCATCGTGGGGTCCATCAGGTGGACACAGCATTGTGAATGAAGGAAGACCCGCCAAGCACAGCACACAACCATGCTGGAGGCAGAGACAAGATTCTAGGAGCTTCCAGTGGTGGATAGCTAGAAAGCTCACACCGAGAGTCAGAAGACACGGAGCGGTAAGTGAGGAGGGAAAACGGTTTCTATCCTAGAGCTCAGAACCAAACTGTCAATCAAGTGTGCTGAAAGAAAGACACCTTCAGACGTTCAAGGCCACAAAGAATTTCCTTCCTACACAACACTTTTTCAAGAAGCCACTGGGGGTATCCTCTGCCAGAGCAAGGGAGGAGTCATGGATGAAGAAAAATTACAGGATCGATCTCAAGAAAAAGATCTGGGGAATCCCTGAGATGGGGTGAGGGAAGATCCCAGAAGGGCCGAGAACAGGCCCACAGGTCAGCAGATTTGCACTGGAGCTGGTTGGAATAGACCTCACGTGGGGTGCATGCAATGAAGGGAACATGTGGGAATAAACTAGTGGCAAATAGAAAGCTGAGAAAAATTATGAATAGGACAATGATGACGGTCCAGGAAAAACTACAATTTTTTTTCAAGAAAAGAAGGGAATCAGAGCTAGCTGTCAAGAGTTTGCCACAGTCGGAATCCATCGAAAGAGCTGCGGGGCTGGGGGGTTTCTGGAAGTACAAAAAGTGGGGAGTGCGCAGGCCAGGGGAAGGGCTATTGGTAACAATCCTTAGAGAACGGACTTTTTAACCTCTGTGTGTGTATAATTAACAAACCCTGAATGAAAACATGTAATAATATAACTTTGGAAGAGAATGCTAAACACCTGCCAATTCCACCAAATATTTTCTTGCTTCAGGTGCAAGTGATTCTTCTTTAAAATGAAAGTGAATACATTCTAAAATGAATCACAATCATGTAAAAACAGAACGCTGAAATTTCAGAATACATGATCCTTTAGGCTTTGGGTAAATTAAGTTTCATGGAATTAGGCTGGTCCCATTAACTATGTTGTGCTAATTGGAAGATCTATTATAGATATGTCTCACCTTATAAATGTAATGGAACTTCTATTCTATCATGCATTCTTCAGCATCTGGAAAGAATATTCCATTGCTTTTCAAAAGTGGCAGATGTATAATCATTTAACCCTCCTGCTTAATGCCAGTACTCACACCCCATTTTTGACATGAAGGGAAAAGTACTTCCTTAGATCTAGCAACCCAGAGCTCAGAGACTTTATTACCTAGTGGCCTGGACAAGTGGCCTTGTCATCTTTTTCCACTGCAAAGCTGTCAGCCTGAAAGGGTGGGGTTCAAGCCTACAGCTCGGGGGAGGTGGTGGTGGGGGGGAGGGAGGCAATTTCATGCAATTAAAACTTCAAAATGACACTGAGCATGGGACTGGGACACAATGCATTTCCCTGATGAAGCGATGGATCATCTCTCCTTCCAAGTATTTTCCATTGCAGTAAAGCTGTAAAGATTAAGATAATTGAGCATCGCCCCAAGTCTGGACTTGCTTTGTGCCTGAGGAGCTGTGGAAGGTAAGCCATTCTAAGTTTTCCTGGTTGGAGGGAGATACCTAGGGCATATTCTCCTAAAAACTTAGGCTTCCAGGAGAATCACTGGAATGCTGTATTTCTATTACAGCCAGCGATGATCTGAATGTGAGATAATGCTGCACGTTGCAATCTCCCTGTGTTTTGTAAATCACCATAAAGTAGCCTCTAAGTTTCAACAAACCAAGGAAAAAGGAGGGTGTAACCACACGTCAGAGAGGATGGTACAAGAAAGCATCTGTCGCCAAGCCAGATAATCCCTCCCTCTTGCTTCTCCACATGGACAATGTTCATCTGGAAGCTTTTTACTGCCTTGGACGAGATTATGAGTAAACCTTTGAAGGAGGGAGTGCAATCCGAGGGCACCAGCAACAACGAGCTGCCCACGTCACATGAGACGTTTACACGAATCTCAACCTGGACGGGTGGCCACCATTCTGGTCCCTTGCAAACCAAACGCTGAGGTTTGGTGGGTCTCTAACAGATCCTCCAGGAGAGTGGCTTGATACTCCATTTCCGAAATTCCATAGTATTTGACTTGGACCCATGGAGCGACTGTGGTCTCCACCGAGAGCCTAGACTGGGTCTTCTAGAACAAGGTAGGCGAAAGCCGTCAGTCTGGTCTGGGGCTTCAGCAATCCCAGGTAACTGTTCCAAGAGAAGGAACATGGCCTACCTCAACATTTCCTTTCTTTTCTCCCCCAAATTTCTAAATATGGCCCCTTTGCCGTGCTTCCAGGATGAAAACACCAGCTGCCTTCCAGCAAGCTCCTAAGAAAGTGGCTATTTCCTGCATTGCCCAGAGAGAAAAACATGCAACTTAGAAGTAGGTGTGGTATTGGTTAAAAAGCTGCAATCAATACCTATGTGCAGGTCAACTTCCCCTAAGAATAATAACCAGATCACATCTAACCAGCCTGTTTCAGAAAACAAGAAGCTTCAGAAGTTAACCTAACAAAGAACATTTCAGGAAAAGTGTCATTCTAATGAGTTGCCCAGAGGAGGCTTCCCTCGGAACAAGCCCTCCCAGTTGACCATGACATGCCATGTTCCTCAAATATTTGCAGAGCCTAATGACATTGACTTTTCCAAACCAGAACACAAACCTAATAAACTACTGACAATGAACAGGATTTGTTCTCCTTGGAGCAGGTTCAAGGTTGGCTTTTTTTTTTTTTTCCCCTGCAGAGCTTGCTGTCAATATTATCTGATTAGGAAGAAGTCGGCAAAATAGAATAACCCACTCAGCACCCAGATCTGGGTTTTTCTATTTATTCTCCAATAAAAGGAGCCGGGGCTTCTTAGAGAAGTGGCTTATTCGGAGACCAGGGCAGGAAATACACGAGATGATCAGCCTGGAGTAACGTGTCAAAGGACACAGGAGCTCAGCAGAAAGAGCTCCCGATAGCCAAAGCTGGAACGATTTGAGCGCCAAAATAATATAGTATTGAACTATGACACCCAGTGTACAATAACTACCCACGAGTCCACACTGATTTGAACAAATAGGGACAAATCTCCCACATAGAATGCCGAATAATTTATATATTTGGATGATGCCTCAGGGAGGTGGAGCATACCTCGTTCCTGAAGTGTGGGCTGACCATAGCAACTGCCTCCTAGAGAGAGTACCTTCCAGCAGGGAAGTGGCAAACACGGTCTTGGCCAGGCGATCAAAGTCAAGGTCAACAGTGATTAAGTCATGTTGATTGCACGTATTCTTGGTAAGATGGGAGAACAGCACTTCGCCTGGGTCGGCTTCCTCCCCCCAGACCCATAAGCCCGGTCTAACAGAGAAAAACCTCAGACACACCCAAACTGAA